CTTGAATTTCGTATAAAAGGAATTAATTATCATATAATGTATTAATAATACATATTTAACATCATATAGTTAAAATATTAAATATGAATAATTAATATTACTCATAAATTAAGTCGGTAAAAATAATTGACTGCTTAAAATAACTTACAGTAAGATGGAATTAATCAATTGCGAACGAAGATTTCGTTTCCAACAATTTCCTTTCATGCGAAAACACATAATTGAATCTCAACTCGATAAGATTCTAGAACACTAAATTTGTTAAATAATCTTATAATAGTTGAGAACACAGGCTTTAATAAAGGATAATTATGTATTTCATTATTATTAAAGTAATTATCACAAACATGAAAGAAAGTAGGTGACATTCTAAGGATTGTGAATTTTATGCCAAGAAATGTTCGAAACGTCAGTTAGAAGAGCTACATTAATATGAACTTCCTATCCATGTGCCTTTAAGCTTGTATTATTATTCGTCTAAACTATCTTAATTTTACGTTCTATAATAATTATTGCAAAAAATTGCATTTAAATAGGCTTAACATTTATTATTTTATCGTAATTTAATGATTTAGCCAATAAAATGGCGAGATTGTCGAGTTGTGTTACCAAATTAATAAGTACTTTTTCGAATCTCTTTCATCAAGGAAAATAAAAAAAACACTGTTTAATTGCTTTATGTTTTTGAGAAACTATATTTTTTAAGTTATGTGTGCCATCTTGCTGTAAATAATTACTGGAGCTTAAGAATGAAAAAATTACTTAGCTACTTTTAAAAGCTATGAAGCTTGTTTAAAAATTGCTAATTTAGCGATATTTAAAACCTAGATAGGAATGGTTAAAGTCAGTGCTTTTTTTTGTCTTATGAGTCCAGTTTACGCAGCATTGTTGTAAGGTTTTGAATACTAAAAATTTAGACCACAAACGATTTTTCTTTCCTCAAAACTGTAGCTTTACTCTTTATTGACGTTTTGTGCAATTTTCAGAATAAATATAGAAGTCACATGATACACATTAAACTTGACTTGAAAATCATGAGTAACTGTTACGAACTCACGGTAGTTATAGAAATTATTCGCAAAAAAAGCAACTTACATCTGATTCAAAACTACAATTTCGAAATACATATAATATCTTTCTGGGCGTTAGAAAAAACAAATAATTTAAATATTTTAAAAGCTTTTAAACTTTTTCAAAACTTTCCAGTCTCGTAAGCTTTTTCCTCCTAGGTACAAATATCAAAATCGATGAATAATTTTCAATTTGTGCTACTTTTTGTAATCACATCATTGAAGTAAATTTTTTAAATATTAAATTAAATCAAAAACTGTGATCATTCTACATCATGTTCTATTTTCGAACTTAACATTAGGGCACTGGCTAAAATTAGTCTAAATTCAACTTAGCATGTATTAGGGCCCTGGCTAAAAATAATCGAAATTCAGCCTTGCAGTCATAAATAACTACTCACAGCAGCTATGGAAATAGCACACTATTTTCAAAAACTTGTTCGTCCAATTTTTCATTTCTATCCTAGTTTGTAACCACTATACGGCATCATACCGTATAGTGACAGCCCTTAGAAGGGTACTGCATATGAATATTTTTAAAGATAAATATTTTATTCAGCATTTCGGTGAAATCTATTGAAACTAAATATTTTTAATATTAAATATAGATTTGGTGTTTCTTGTAATTCAATTTATAAGTAAACACAAAAATGGAGTCTAGACTGGGAAATCATATTTCAAAAATTGCATTTGCTTGATGTACAATAAATAAAATACGTTCCTCATATTTTCTTAACATATATAAATAATTTAAAATGCAAAATCTTCCTCGGTACCCGATAAAGGTACTAAAAAGAAATCGAACAACCAGAAAACTTTAAAACATCATTTTTCCTTTCCATCGAATTCATGACAGATCTTACAACATTTGAATGCGATGTATTTTCTTTTTCGGCGACTACAGGTCTTGCTTTTTTATTCATGGACCGGGACCGACAAGAAAGGCGCTCAAAAATCTTCCAACGCTCAAATCTATAATTTTTTTTTCTCCCAAAAATGAATGCTAGGAAGAAATGACATAAAGAATGGGAAATATTTTGGTACTATCGCACTGTTCTATTTGTTCGTGCCAAGATTCAAATGATAGATCCATTCTGATGGTAGAGGACACACTCTCAAAAAAAGGATGAGGATTTTATTTTCCTTTTTTTTCGGCTGAAATTTCTCTTCGCTGTTGGCAACGCAAACGAAACGGCACACAAAACTCTGATTTGTTGTACTCATTGAAAAATTTCTTTCCTCGTAGGTTTGTCCATAAATCTTTTGTGATGTTTTTGTAAGGTCTGTCATCTTCTGGTCCTTGTTTGGGATGTTGCTTTATTTATAGGCATTGGTTTTGATTATTTTTTTTTCCTATTTGGACTGGAGTAGGGGAAAAGGGATGTAAAATAATCGCGTTTGGAGTAATCGATGTATATCCCAGGCTACAAATCATCGATATGAAAGGATTTTTCTGACGGGAGAGTAAACTTGAGGGAGTTTAGTAGGGAATTTTTTCATGTTCCGGGGAATTTTGACAGGACATTCTAGGGGATAAATTTTTCTTATATATCAAAGGTATGCGAAGGCACTTTTTATGATGTTCGTAAAATAAAGCACTTGCGGGGTCATAAAAACATTTCAAAGTTTCATACCGGGCATTTCATCTTATGTTTTGATCGTTTTGGTCAGTTTTACTTTTTAAATTATAAGACTGGGTAAAAATATCCTTACAGCGATGAAAAATTACTTGAAAAGGACTTGTTTCAGTTTTGTTAATGTTATTCATTGAATGTGGAGGTAATAACTTCAGTAAAATAACCAATGAAAGTAATTGTTATAAAATATACCTTGTATTTTAGTTATCAAAAATAATTGAAATGATAGAGGAAATAAAATTAAGCTGAAGTATTAATAATCGTAAATTAAAACATACAATTTTGTGGATTTTAAAAATCTGAGCTTAATTGCTCTCAGTGATATTTTTAAAACTATTTTATGCATGGTTCTATAAAATAAAATTTAAGCTTGTGTGAATTTCATATTGTAAATCCAAAAGCAAAAAAACAAAAAATGAAAATTGAGAAAAAAAAATACTACTGGAGGGACTATACATTTAAAAAAAAATTTCTTGCTTAAAATTATGTGTATTTTTCGAAAATAAGAAAGTATTAAAAAGTCATCTTCTAAGTTATTGCACACATCGGAAATTTTAATTTAAAGTTCTTATTCAATTCTTATTCCTTTCTTATTTTTTGCTGGTTATAAATAAAGAAGTTGTCACCCGATGTGTAAAAAATGGAAGTCACACTTTTTTAAAGTAAGTCTTTGAAAATATAGTTATTTGCAGACGAAAGTTTCCAATTATAATAACATATTTTTCCTTTTCTCTAGTGTTTAAAAACAGATTACACTTTTACTATGATTTTTCTTTTATTTATTGTTCGAATAATAGGTCTCCATATAACTTCAAGTACAACTCTTGCAAACTTTTAATTTTTTTTCTTCTCTAAATGTTACTCTTCAAAAAAATATTTTTGCTTAATATTTGAATACGAAAAACTCGCTAGTGATATCGTTGTTAAGAACAAAACAACAAGTTTCTTTGTTTGAATTCTTTGTTTTTAAACTTTGCACTTAATCCCTAGTTTTTAATCTTCCCTTTTCAAGTATGCAAAGAGATTAAAAGCTCCGGTTAAAGAAAACATTACGAAACCAAGTGTTTTGAGCAGACGGAGTTTCTGAGGTGATATTTTCAACATTTGATTCAAACATTTGCAGGAAACATTACTCCCGAGAAAAACTACGCTCTTGCTAGAACTGTTTTAATTTTATGGACTTTACTCACATTTTAAGGACCTTATTTAAGGCACAAAAAAAAATTTCTTGAGAATTGTTTAATCTTGTCTTTTGATCAATTTGTTATAATATGAGATCCATCCTATTTTGCAATATGTTTTTATTAAAGTAGGAGGAACTAGTCAATAAAACTAAGGCGTTGTATTAGGTTATTTCTGAAATTTATAAGAAATCACATGAAACTAATTGCAGGAAGTCTCCATGTTATTTATAGTTGAATGAAGGGCAATGTAGGCTATTTGTTTTGTCAACACCCATGTTTTGAAACATTCGATTCGGAAAGAAATTATTTTTACTACAGTGTTTTTATTCTGTAGTTTCTTATTGACATAAGATTCATTTTCATTAACTTCAAAATCTGATTACACTATATTTTAGCTTTTATTGTAACTTCTTAAAACATGCTTTATATCACGTTTAAATTTCTATTAATTACGCCTTGCTTTATTGTAACTCCTGAGTTGTAAAAAATCCCGGATGAAATTATAAAGTATCGGCACTTTGAGTGCGTCATCTGTAAAATCCATTTAATCATCAAATCTATTCCTACCGTAAACTATTAAACCGTAATTTGTACAGTATCTTTATTTAATTTGAGTGATTAATTGATCTTACGGTAATTATTACTGTAAAAAAGACTGCGTTTAAAAATTTTAGTTCCACAATATGTTCCGTTAAAAACTGATCTTACGAGAAAAAGTACCGACACTGGAAGCGCCGGTACTTTTTACAGTAATTTGAACTACATATTTAAATGTTTTGAAATTTCACAATGTCAGAGAGTAACAGTTTCACTATTTTATAATTATTAAATAGTTCAGAGAAGAAAAAAAATATTATTTTTACATATATAAACGGTATTATCCTCCCAGATTGAATGAAACCGGGTATTATCGTACCAGAATAATTAATTTACACACCAAAATATGATTTTTTGTAAAACATTTTTTTGGACTAAAACATTCATTGATCAATCGTGTGAAAATTTAAGCAGCCTAATTCATAGAGTCATTTAGGGAAAAAAGGAACTTTTTCCTATAAAAAAATTTTAAACAGGAAGAAATTTAAACATAACATGCAAGTTTAACTTACATGGCAAAGCAGTCAAATCAAGAGAACATGGATCCGATGCTCCAATTTCGTTTGCTGCGATACAAGAATACTTTCCGTACACGTTTGGATTGACGCCAGATAAGGCAATAATACTTTCTTGACGACTAGACTCTCGCGTTTCACTGAATATTGATTCATTGTTTCTAAACCAGGAAAAGTTGAAAGCAGCTGGATGTGCATATGACCGACAACTCAACACCACATTGCCTTCATCAGTATAATCTTTCATCATTTCACACAGAGGACGATCTGAAAAACAAAATAACATTTTGTTAACATAAAAAAAAATAGAATTTATACCAAAAATATGTTTGTTCATTTTTCTTTAAAAGAACACATATAAAAATATTTAAAAAAAACGCGCATGACATCACTTTAATTGACACGCTAGAGATAGACGGTGTGTATGATCAGCAGATATAGAATAATAGTGTGATTACTATTATTATTTTTTATAATTAAAGAAATTTATTGATCTTCGAACGTTAAAAAATAAATTATTTTGAATTCGTCATTTTAGATGCTAACCTCAGCTAAACATAATTTTGCATAAAATGTTTTATAAAAGTAAATTTAAACTGGTAAATATGATATATTTTTATTTTTTAATCAGCTATGTAAAACTGAAACTAAATTCTTATATCATAAAATCTTGAAATAATAAGAAATTATCATGCGATTACATCATAGTAACCCATTATAGTACATTTTATTGATCTCAAGACTTAATTTTGTACAAAAAACAAAATAACGAAAGCAATAATAACAGATAATACTATTAAGAAGGGATGTTTGCAAAATTTTACTAATAGATACCATTTAATCTGAGGCAAAAGTACTGTAAACAATTAAGTATCGATACAATATTCCGTAATGTTGAATTCTAGACAAGCAAAGCAAAAAAATCTTAATCTTTGTTTCTATTAATTTTATCATGTGAATTTTATTTCCAATCAAAATGCTCTAATGGGACAATTATCTTTTGTGTTTTGCAGAAATGTATGTCGTCAATTATTTAAATTATTTATATTAATAAATGCTATTATTTTATATAATAAATGCTTACTTTTCTTCTTTTTTATTAAGAAAATGTGTTTAATTTAAATCATTTTATTTTGTAATAATATCGCGTTATGATTAGATTTGGAAGACTTTTTTTGCGATTTTATCGATTTATTATTTCATTTTTTTATATAGCGTTTTGTTTTACACTGCCTTTCTTATGACTGTTGATAAGTTCTTTTATTTTAACGACTCTGCGTACAAACATTAAAAAATACATTAAGTAAATATTTTTTTTTCTTCTTTCTTTAAATATATTTTAATCTGGTATAAGCATATAATTTTTAGAAACCATGGTAAATAATTATCAAGAAGGTAAATATTAAAACCATAGTCAGCGAGATCTTCTGATAATACTCCGTTCGTACATGTTTGGGACTTGTTGCTGCAAGACCAAAACCTCCTATAAATTCGCTTATCTGCTCATATGAAACAAAATTCATTAGGAAAACAATAATGAATTACCTCTATCAGACCCATTTTTAATGAACTATTTCCAGATTATTGCAGGTTTATTAGATTAAACTCTTGTTTGTATTGCTGTCTGGCTATCAAAATTCACTGTTGAACACTATACTGATATATATAGTAAAATAAATTCACTAATTCTTGCGCTCTTATTGTATCTAAATGTCATTATTTTACGGAAATTCTTTTTATCGCATTAATCATAATCATTTTTATTAGTAACTGCTGATAAAAACTTAACCAACGACGTTCAACCTCTGGACCAGCATATTGCATATCTACCAGTACCAACTTATAAAATAAGTTCACTAATGCTTGTGCTATTATTGCATTTAAATGTCATTATTTCACGGAAATTATTTTTATCGCATTAATCATAATCATAGTATCAGTAACTGGTGATAAAAATTTAACCAACCGACATTCAACCTCTGGATCCTTTGTATTGCACATCTACCAATACAAATTTATAAAATAAATTCCTTAATGCTTGTGCTATTATTGTATTTAAATGTCATTATTTTATGGAAATTATTTCTATCGCATTAACCATAATCATGGTATTAGTAACTACTGATAAAAATTTAACCAATCGACATTCAACCTCTGTACCAGCGTATTGCACATCTACCAATATCAATTTAAGTTTTAGTGTACTTGTCATTTCCAAGATTCGCTTATCGGTTATAATGATGTTGACTTGATATTATGTGTCTATCAGATAAATAAATGCTACCGTCTCTGAAAAACATGATTGCAATGCGATAAATCTGGCCATTATTCGAGTTGCTTATAATGCAGCTCTTTCTCTGCTGCACACTAACTGACTTTGGAAAGAACCAGATTGCTATTTCAAACAAATGATAATTGAAAATGTTTCAATGGCAAAACTGCTTGTCAAGAAAAATTCTGCACACATAAATAAAAGTAGTAAGGCATCAAAAAAGATTCCAAGTCCTGACTTGAAGTGATAAATAAGATTCAGTTCAATTTCACAAGCAATAAAAAGTAATTCAAGGTTAGATAGTTGGGTAAAAAATTTCAGACCTCGTTATTGAAAATAAAAATCTTAGGCATCCATAGTTATTCAAATCTATTGCTCAGAATTATAAATATGTCTCTCAAATACCGTAACAATCAAGAATCATTAAAGAATATTTATTAGAAAACAACATTAAACAGCGTGGAAAAATGCCTGAGGTCTAAAGGAAAACTGTTAGGCATGCTACTGCAACTAAAGCAAAGCTATGGGTAAACTTCAAATACTTGATATTTAACAAAAAAAAAATAAGTGACTCGCCTTTGAATAATAGCTTATCATTATTGGTATCCACTTTAAACTCTGTCTTTCTGACACGTAGAAAGTCTGCATAGTGTTTAGGACTATATACCCTATTACGATTATCATTAGGTTGATATGATGGTCCAGATTCAAATGTTAATTTTTGAACAATAGTTCTGAATCTCTCTGAACTATGTTGTATTTTCGTACAACGGAGCAACATAGATGGGTCAGAATTATTTTGATGATAGTTTAGTATTAGTTAATAATATCAATTAGTTTCTTTTTGCTAATATTCTTTCATTATTTATTATTTGATTACGTAGCATTCTGAAATATTACATTACCATAGGGGATTAAACGTTCGCTTCCCAAAGAGGTGAACCAGGTTCCAATCCCAGCAGCTGCTGGCTTATACGAATTCTGCTTCCAGCTCGCACTTACCACGGCACTGACGTAAATATTCTCATTGGTAGACGGATCATGATTTAGAATCCCCTTGCCTTCGATCTAGCAGTAAAAGATTTTCGTGGTTTTCATCTTCATGTAACGCATTTAATCCCATAAAAAATCCTCCACGAATGTCAGTTTGTCACTCTGTTTGATCCAGGAGATCCCTTGTCTTCTGGGTGGGGTTCAAAGTTACGAATATAATGAATTGAACATTGATGGCCGTAAACTTAGAATTGGGTCAGCTGTTCAATGACGGTTATAAAATGAAATATCTATTTGAAGCAATGATATGATACATAACTTTATATCTTTTCTTGCTTTAATAGTCAAACTTTAATTGTTTTTTAAAAGTTTAAGGTATTGTAACAAAAACTTAAATTTGAAATAATGTTGAGAAATTAAAATATATTTAAAGGCTTAGTTTGACGCTCACGTGAGTATTAAAGCTAACCAGCCGCATGAGGCATAAAAACATATTTTGTTAGAAATCTAGCTTTAGATAGTTCAGAATTGACATTTTATTTAATCTTTCGATTGCTTTTCAGAACTTTAAAAGCGTCATTCTTTTTACTTGTAATAAAAATCAATTTTTCTTCATATTCTTCATTCTTTTATTGATTACTGCTGCCATTTTTCGAACGAAACATTTCTGATGGTAGCTATATTAAATACATGTTCTATCAGTCAAATTTCGATTTGAATCATAATTTTTGGCTTTTACGCGTTATTAAAATAGTTTTTTAAATCGATTTTATTGATTTAATCTTAGTTTCTCCACGAAATTCAGTTTTGAGTATTGTTCTTTTTAAGAATTTGTTGATGGATTATGAAGTGTTTTCTTTGTTAGTTAGGTATGAAGGTTAATTTTTTTCTACCTTGTTTTTGTCATAAAAAATAATAAATAATAAACAAAAATCCTATTTTCTATTTTATTTTTTTAAAGAATAAAAAGACATCACATTATATTTTTATTTCCAAATTTGAAGTCTCTTATATATATGCATTAAAGCAATAACTCATCGATCTTTTTTTTAATCTCTTTTTATGTTGAAAATAGCAAGCAAAAATAAATAGTTTATGAATATAAAGAAATAATTTTATTGAGTTTAAATTTTATTATGCAATAATTTACATATTTTTACATCTTAAATAATTATTTAATAGAATTTCGTTGTGATTAAGGCTGTTCTCCGTAAAAGTATTGTCTGCTAGTGCACTATTCTGAAGGATTGAAAATAAACTCGCTAATGCTCAAAATTTCCTTGATCAGCCCTGTGAGCTCCTTTAAGCTGAGTCAAGATCTAACTAGCTGGTGCACTTCACTGAATACCTTAACTTTTCTTCATAGGCAACTCATTCAATTTATTGATCTACGCAACTTTGGAGTAAGATCTAAGCTCTCATATCTGTGAAAGAGAATTTTAACTTAATTTTAATTAAGCTTCAAAAAATAGTAATTTTATGAATTAATATTAGTATTTATATTAATATTAATTACCCTTAATATTTGTTTTTTTTTAACTATCGATTTCAGGTTTTTACATTATTTTAGAAACAAAATATAATTTTTTTTTTAAAATAAGTAGCCGCTTAACATATTTTGCTAAAAGTATCAACCATGAAAAAGAAACTTTATGCGTACTAAAAACACACATTTTCATTATTAACATTTTAACGCGCTTAATGGAAGCAAAACTTTTATGATTATATCAGCAAACTTTTATAAGTGAGATAAATTTTTGAAAAAAAAGAAGCAAAAGCATAATCGTGCCGAGGAAAAATAAATTAGTCAGCAAACATTTCAGAAAATGAAACTTTATTTATTTTTCAATTAATTAATATCAAAATTTATTAATTTTATTTAATATTCATTAATTTTAATTAATCTTAAAAATTGTATTTTTCTTTAAATATTGATTTCAGACTTTTGCTATTTTAGAAACATTTTTCAAAAAAAAAAAAAAAAAAAAAAAAAAAAAAAAAA